TATTGATTAAAATTTTATAAACACAATCCGTGTTATGTACTTAATACCATAATATTATGTAATATTACTATTTATGTAAATGATAGAACATAGCCCGAACTACTACACTTGTATACTATATATTCATTTACATTGTTATACACACAATTGGTAAAATAATTGTAACAATTCGTATTCATTGAATTTCAATTAATTCAAATTGTTATCTATATTAAAAAAAAACCTGATCTAAATAACGTATACGTAAACGTATTCCTGTATATACCCTCTCTGAATGATAATGGAAGTAAATTTTAAACAGATAAACATAAGTGACAAATACAAAAGTATATTATAAGTATAATTATTCAAAATGGAAGAATTTAACCTTTTAATTCAGAAGTAAAATAAAAATGAAAATTACAATAATATATCATAAAAAATCGCCGCATATTATTCATTACCCTTAAAGGATTTAAAAAATTAAGGTGAAATAAACTCCTTTTCCTCTATTTTAGTTAATAATTTCATGCCAACTCATAGAAATTTTCTAAATATAGAAGAACAATAATAAGGTGGGCACTAGATATTTATATAAGGAAGAGCTCGTGGATTTTCTATAAGGATAGATAACTCTTATTATTAAATACGATATCCATGTTAAATTAATATATAAATTATGTAAAAACTGTAATTTTTAACTACCTATATGTATACTTAAAGAGAATTATATTTCAAACTTTATAATTTTATGGTATACTCTTTAAATGTACAGTAAGGGAAGGATTTTTTTAATTTTGTTATCCTTTTCAAAGTATAAAGCCATGCATAAAATCAAATTATTAAAAACTATCATTTTGTAAATATGTTAATATATTATATTTCATGCACACACACACACCCAGTTTGCACATATGTACATAATATGTACGTAAACGTGTGCACTTTCTTATATATAAGGTGGGAATAATGACAACCTGACTATCTCCCTACCAATCTATTGTATTTGACATTATTATACTCTAATATATATTTAGCATATTAAAGCCCGGTAAAAGTTAACAAAAACAGTTAGGAAAAATAAATGATATAGAAAATTCCGTCATATTAAAAAATAATAGTTAAAATACAGTTATCTCTTTCTTTCAAATTGTTCAATGGAATTTTCTTTAACTCATTTTTTGTTTTTAATTTTACCCCTCTTTTATTTTTTGATATTTTCGCGGTTACCACCTACTTTCTTTATTATGTTTTTATTTTCTTATTATTTCATATATATTATTTTATATACAAGTGTATATGTATAACAGTTTGTAAAGCAAGTGTATTAAAAAGTGCGTTGGCTTCGCTGTATAGATTTTGAATGTATATACAAACAATGTTAATTCAAGAAAAACTAAATAAATTTAGAGTGGGTTAAAAATAATGAAGGTGTTAAATTGTTAAATCGAAAATTTTCACTATTATTAAAATTTTTAATAACAATCAATTAATTAGAAATTTATTCGAATTTGCAATTGACATATTTCTTATAGCGGAAAAATTCTTTGCATTAGAATTGCTTTGCCTTTGGTTTTAAATGCAAGCAGCATTACTGCGATTCGGATGCTAGATCTAAAAAAAATAACTGACAATACCCTTTAAATAATAATGAATAGAGCTTTTCTTTTAGTAAACAACGACTTAATTTCAATTCAATTTTAAACCTATGTACATATGCGAAGCTTACATAAGCGTATCATTTTTATTCAAGATTTCATCAGGAAATTTGTAGATCACATGTACATATGGAGGTGATCTATAGACATATGAATATTCAATTCAAATTCGGAGTTATTCATTGAGATTCGGAGTTCAAATGTTAATTGCTTACCGTTACATAATTTGTTTTCTAAAAATTCAATTTATTTTATCAAATCGATTCTGTTCAATCAAACTATTTGAAATCTTCTGAAACATTGTTTAATTGAACAAGATGGTTTGTCAAAATTCAACAAAAAAAAAAACACATTCCCTCTCTAATTTTGATATTTTAATTAACTTAATCAAAAACGACGTGGCAACGTACAATGTACACTACGTAAGAAATGCAAAAATGTTGCAAATAATACGCATGCGCCTTCAAAAGAAATTTTAAAACTAAAAATGCAAGAAAAAATTGTTATCTTCTATCTCACTTACACACTCAAAAAGATTTACCGTTTATTTATACCATTTTTATTTACTCTTTTTTATTTTGTTTTGTTATTTGTTTGGATACAAATGTTGCTCATCAAATTAAAAGTCGCTTAGAAAAACACAAACACTATGAAATTGAATTGCTAAGTCGCATGACCGGTTTCGTATCAACTTTTTTTTTATTTTCATTGAATTTATCCTGCTTAGCGTGAGTGTGTTGTCGCAAATTTAAATTTAACAAAAAAATATATAATTTTATTCATATATCTTACAATAATAAAAAATATCATGCTATTACTGTATATAAAAGCAAAACAGCAGGAGACATTATTGTAATTCACCAACACAAGCTTATCTTAAGAAAAACTAAAATGAAGCGCAAAATCGTGTAGGTTTTATAAAGTAAGAAGTATTGAAATCGCTTATATCGCGCCAATCCATACAAAATATTCGAACACTATCGCACAAATATCTTTCCACACTATCATAAAATGTCATACTATCGTAATTGTATTTTATAGTAACTACTACCATTTTAAAAACAACATTTTATTGAGAAAGTGTATGTGAAAATTGTAGATGGATTTGTAAAACACCAACACTTTTCAAGTGAAACATACTTGCTTTTGTTGTTTTACGGAGTAGATTATAAATTTACTAACAACTGATTGGTTATCTTCAGAAATCATAATCAAAAAAATAGGCGGTTCCCGTAAAAGATGAACTAGAAACAAAAAACGAGATTAGAAAGAAGGAGTTTTTATTTAATTCTTATTGAAATAGTTTTAGCTATAGTGGAAACACACTTAAGCAATAGCACATTTTTAATACATTTCCATCTATGGCATTTTATCAAAATAAGAAGTATATGTCGCATTATGCTGTATCATGCTATAGAAAATCTCCATGCTCATTTTTCAAATTTTCTCATTTTTAAATAAGTTTTTGTTACTGTTTTCAATACTAAATTTTAACGCAAAGAGAAAAGCTTTCTTATTCGAATAAAAACTATGCGAAATATTTTGATTTTAATTTTGGTCTTTCATTCAAGTTGTAAAATGAAAAGATCAAAAATAAAATTAATTTTGTAAATTTTGAAAATTTTGCGATCTCCGTTACTTAAATGAACCTTTTTTTTTTAGGTCCCCTACATTACTCTGGATTTCTCTTAGTTCTTCGTTCAGAAGTTTTTATAGTAAATGCTGCTTGTATTTCTTGTCGCATAAACTGGCGTACATATGTATGTATGAATAGTTTTTGTTTTTTATAAATAAGTACATAAAATATGTGCTTTCACACACAATGATACATTCACATATGAATGTACATACACACGTAATAAGCAAATAGGGTAATAAATATAAATGCGTTCTCGTTATTGACATGAGCGCCACTACATGGTTATATTTTGTATTATGATTGTGCAAAACAAGTCAAATTAATATTCTTTTTACAACATTTTTTTTGGTTTTGCTGTTTTTTCTTTTTTAACATTCGCTCCTCTTTTCATTTTTTCTTTATATTTTCGTTTTCCTTATTATTGTCGTTGTCGCTGAACAACCGAAATGAATATAAAAAATTTTTAAATATATGAAAAATAATACATGCTCTCTGTTGTTATATGTATAAATTGGGCGAGGGGCGATTCACTGAAAAAGAAAAAAATTAAATGAACAAAAAAAAAATATAAAAGTTTGTAGAATAAAAGAAAATGAAAAAAAAGCAATTCATGAAAATAATGAAAGAGGAGAAGAAAAACAAGTAATAAAAAAATTTTTATTTTTATAACAGAAAAACTCGCTTTTAATACAAAAGTTTTCTTCGTAACTTTAGTTAGTTATCTTGACGTTACGAAAACGGTTTAATCTTTTGCGATTGTGCGATTTTTTTCTGTTTTCTCTTTGAAATATAAAATATAAAGTGAATGTATGTATAATTGTATATGCACATATATATATATATAATTTGATTATTTATTTTTGTGTATTTAGAAAATAAAATAAGAATGAAACAATAAAAAACCAAACAACAAAATAATACGAAAATACTACAGAGGTATACAAGAAAAAAAAACAAAAAAACAAGAAAAGCAAGCAAGCGAACTTTATATTTCTGTCAAAAAAAGACGACGACGACGACGTCGTTTTCATTGTTGCGCTTCTCTAATCTTATTATTGTTGTTTTGTTTCATTATTTTTGATTTCTTATTTGGTTTTTGACTATGTTAAATTTCATATTTTTGTTTTGTATTTCAATTCACATATTTATTATCTTTTTTTAATGAAAGAAAAAAGTTCTGGTGTTCTCACAGCAGGATAACAATATTCAAAATATATAAGTGTATTTTGTACATAAAAACAATACAAATTCAAAAATTTGTTTTTTGTTTTTTTTTGTATTTTTAAATTAAATGAAAACTTTTGTGAAACAAAAAGAAAAAGAAAAAAGAAAAACAATATTTTAACAAAAAAGAAGGAGAAAAATTTTGACTTTTTTTTATGAATTTGACATTTGAAAAAAATCTTTGTTGCCGCCGACATTTATTTTTCTGCGCGAAATATTTGTAATGGTTTTTATCCGATTATTTTTATATAAAATTATAAAATATATAAATAAATTGTGTGTGTACAAGTGTAAAATATAAATTAAAAAAAAATGGCAAATATTATTTATAAAAACTTACAAAATTTTTGAAATATTTGTGTAGTGTAATAATAACAGAGATTTAAAAAAAATTAAGGAAAAAGGTGGATAAAAGTTGAAACTTATAATAACTAAATTTTTTTTTGACATTTATGTAGATTAAAATTCAAAATATTAAAAAAATTATTTTGGAAAATTTCAAATAAAATAAAAATTGTTATTAATGAAAATATGTAATTATTTTTTAATAAAGTGTAAGTGGGCAATTTGAGAATATTTCAGAAATAAATGCAAAACCTAACCTAAAACATATTAAATTAGAAATATTTAATTGAAAAATCAGAAGATTAGTTAAATTTCTAGTTGAGAAATGAAAATTTTGTGTGGAAAAGTTTAAATAACTTGACAGAGTGATTTTGATCAAATATTCTAATTCGAATTTGACATAATTTCGGATCAAATACTCGAAAATTCCACAAGAATTCAATATAAATTGGAAACTTATACTAGAAGAAACAAGAAGTTTTAATTTAAATTTAAAATTCTCAAGTTTTTTTGTCTTAAATTTTAATAAATAATAATTTGTTTTTGGAATATTTTGGAATTAGAGCAAAATAAAACAAGGTAAACAAAATTTTTCAAATTAAAATGATTGCATTTGTTTTGTTTAGCAAAATGTTAAATTGTATTTATTATAGAAACAAAAAGTTAGTCAAAATATTGATGGCCTTACAGAAAAACCTTAGGTGATTATTCAATTGGACGTTAAAAACTAGTATTTTAAATTTTAAGCAAGGTCCACTTAAGCCAAATTAACTACATATAAGTAGTTGCTTAAAAAAGTAAAATTATTGCAAACATATGGTTTTTTTTAAATTCATAGTTAACCAATTCAAACATTTTTATGTTGTTCAAAAATTGATTTAAATCTCAACACAATATGATTCAGTACGATCTGGTGCTTTGTGATTTGTAGATCGAAGAAAGTCTATTTAGAATTAATTGATGAAACCTCGAACTGTTTCATTCATAATTAAAAATTACGAACATTTGCTAAAATCCGGCATGTCAATTTTTGTCTAATTTTAGGTAATAGCTGGTGGAAATTAATTACTATCACATCTTTATTTATTTTCAAAATTGTCCTAAACCCAGCTCGAACAACAATACTATAAATGTGCCTCAGACTTTTTCCCAAAATTTTTAAATAATTATAATGAAGAAAGAAGTTTTATAGTCTCCAGATTTTCAGGAACTGTCAACGATAATTTCACATTATTTCATTTTAAATATTCATAGACTTTGATTTGTTGAAGACCTGTTCATTAACTTTTGTTAATGTAATTGAGAACTTAATTAGAGATTTTCTTCCACTAGAATGCATCATTTTTTCATCTAATATATCTTAAAATCACTCATTTAAATAATTTGATTGAAAACAAAAGAAGCTAGAAAAAAGGTGCCGCTCTACATATATATGTATATATATATATATATATATATAAGTGCATATAAATATAAATTAAATACAAATATCACGTGCTATAACACGTGCCTGCTTTGGCTGAACGTTCTCACAAAACCCAATTATTCCCGCTGTGAGGCTCAAATAAATGTAGACAAATTCATGAAATTGATATAGCAAAGTAAAATCAGTGAAAGAAAATCGTACCTATGTGCACAAGAATAATTCTTTCAAATTATACTTAACTATATTTTTATTACAATGATGATAACGGTTGGATACCAAAAAAATTATATTAACAACAGTAACCAATTGAAATATTTTTTTTTTGTATAAATATTTTTATTCTCGCGGCTCAGGGTGATGATTTATTTTGTTGCTCATTTTTTGAATGAATCATAATAAAAAAAAAAGAGCATCAAGCAAGTCAAAAATTTAGAAAGAGAAAACCAACAAGCAATATTATTACAAAATTAGATTGATTTGTTTGAATTTCTGAATAACAGAAAATATTTATATATAGAGTTGGCTCCTTACAGAATACATTCAAGCAATCGAGAAAAATTAACTGCAGGAATTCAGCTATAGTGGCCTAAATATTAAAAATACAAGTTCACAAAATACCGACGCAAAATTTGTGTTCAAAAAATATAAAATTTACCATAAATCACCTGACAGTCGCGAATTATTTGATAATGAAAGCATAATTCTACTTCATAGCAACTATACAAACTACACATAAAAAATTAATTAGTAAATTGAACAATTCGAATAAATTGATCACTCCAAACAAGGACTTTCAGTGTAACAAATAACAAATAAAAATTCAAATCAATCATATAAAAAATCTGCACTTATCCAAAAAAAAATAAAGTCAAAGTTCTTACATTGTTGCTATTTTGTGAAAAGATGAATTCGATATAAGGGTAAATAAAAACAAAACTTGAGAGAAAAAAAAAATTTTTATCAAAATTTCATTTAATCGTGCTGTTAATTTGACAGATTAGTAAAAAAATATGATTAAAATGCAAAGTATCCCTAATTTTTTGGATAGAAAACGAATTTGAACGTTCTTTTGTTGAAAATTTTTCTATTTGATCTTTTATATTACGTGTGTATAGTTTTTATTATTATAATTTGTAAATAAAACACGTTAAGCAAAAATAATTCCTAATCCCTAATTTGACATTTTCGGTATATTCTTTTTATTACTTCATTGCATTGTTTTCGAATAAATAATTTTCATTGTTCAATTTACTTGCATGTAAAGAATCGTTAAAAAATATCATTTCAAAAAAGTAATAACACAATATTTCGAATCTTTTGCTCACTTCTTTACTCTTCTCTTTCGATTTTGATGAGTTGTCGGCAAAAATCAAAATTTTTGACACTTGAAAAAAAAATGACTCATAATAATTTGATAAAATTACCGTTGTCAATCAAAAGCTAAACGGTAAAAAAAATAAACAACAATAAGTCTAAATTTAAACAATAAAAAACAAAAAATACAATAGAAGAAAACGAAACAAAACGATTGATCGAATCCGTAAGTGTTTTCAAAAATGTTTTAATGAGAAGATGAATTAGAAGAAAAAATGAAATGAGAAAAAAAAAAATTCTTTTGACGTTTCATCTCTCATATCATAATTTGATTTTTTTGAACCGTTGTTCCTTTTCGGGTTGAAAATGCCAATATAATTTTTTATTATTCGTCTTAAATTATTAAGAATAGGGTTTCTTAGCTCAAAGTTTCGGTGTTAACTTTTAAAATTTTCTTATAACATTCAGATTATTGTCGAGTCCAATAATAATTGTGACGTATATGGAATTGCCATCTATATAAGTTTTCGAATAGAAGACATTTTCAATCTATAGTAAAATTTAGAATTAAAAAATTTGTATTAGAAAACTTCGAATTATACAGAACTGCGCTTCATTTGTTCAGAGTCTATAACAAGCATTTCTTTTCGCAGTGTTGAAAACTAATTTTTTGTATGTTTTTTTCTTAAATTACTTTTTCATTGAAAACGTCCCACTTCCACTTATTTCTCTTTTTTTTTGTTCTTCATAATCTCTCAAACCATTCTCGACGTGAAGTTAAGTAGGAATGCATTTCAAATTTCAGAAAAAGCAATGATATTTATTCCTTAAATACAACTTTGCATAAAAGAGTTTGAATTACTTACCAATATTCAAATTTTTCTTAAATTATAAATTTTCTTATGAAGTCTAAGTAAAGATGTTCTCCCCCGTCTCTAAAAATACTTGTTTTCATTACATAAAGAAGAAGAAAAGGCAAGTGAATGATTTTTTTTTCTAACAACTTTTGTAAATGCACAGCGGTTAAGGCAAATCGGATTATCTATTTGTTTCCGTAAACTTTAAAATACAATACAACATTTTGTTAACAAAAGATAGTCATTTTTTTTTGTTACTGCAACATTTTGCTTAACTTGCTTTAATCTACATTATCTAGGTATCAAAAATTTATACAACAAAATTTTATCAGTTTACATGTGTGTAGCTAAATGCATAATCTATATATTTGTATTTTAACTTGTGTGACAAGAATGAAGAAAACCAAAGATAGTTTGTAAAAGATTTGTTGAAAAGTTACATAATCTTCTTATAATTTGATTACAAATCGTAATATACAATATTTTTTTGATTAATAACCAATTAATTAAAAATTTTACATAAATTAGTCAAATTGAAAAAAAAAATTTTTTTAAAACAACAATTAAATTGTTAATTTGAGAAAAAGAAAATGACTGAAATCATAAAGTGTTTTATAAAACTAAAAGTGTTTCAAAAAGATTTTAATAACAAAAATATTTAATAAAATACTAAAAAGAAAATAGAAAAAATAGTAACAGGATCATAGCAAAATTGTGTGTTTAAAAATTCATTAGTTAAAAATTTTCTTTAAATTTAATTGAAAGTATACAATATTTTTTGTTTTTGGGAACATTAGAAACATCTGCATTGGAAAAACTACATAAAAATATTAAGAATACCAAATATTAATAAAAAAATATATTAAAACATAAAAATGTTGACAGATATGACCCCGACGGCTGGTCAACTTTATGGATCACAAATACCTACAATGGGCATGAATATTACAAACATTGCATCACATATACAAAAACCACAAGTTAATCCGGTAAGTAACAAACTGTAAATTTTATAAATTTTTTAATTTTTAATATGCTTACTTCTAAAAATGCTTAATTATTCAGTAAAAAGCTGAAAATTTTTGTTTTTTTATTAAACAATTAGTATATTTTAAAAAATAAGTGTCACTTATAGCATGATTAGAAGTTGATGTCTATATTGTTGAAACAGAAAACTTAATTTTAATAAATATATCGTAATCGAACTTGATACATATTATATGGAACTATTGTGGACTTGGAAATATATTTACGAAAAGAAAATCCTATCAAAATCTCACAGCTCTATGATGTCTCCCTTACATGTTTTTCTTAAATTTTTCAAAAAATTCATTACTTTAGTTTTACCTAACCTTTTTTCATTTAAACTTAAAACCACAAGTTCGGATCGAAAACATTAGTGAAAAAGGCATTAAATATATATATTTAAAGTTTCATCTTGCAAAAGTATTATTTTAAATAAAATTTAAAAATTTCGGAAACACTCCGAATTTCGGAGTGCTATAAAATAAAATTTTATAATAAGAGTTTTACTATAAACCCGTTTTGGAAATAGTATAGTTCAAAATTTTCTGCTTTCTCAGAATTCAAAGTTTTACCGAAAATGATTTGTGGAAGAATAAGAAGAAGCATTTTCAGTCTTTAAAGAAATTCACTTTCATATTTCATAATTCACTTCATAATTTTCAATACATACGTAATATACATTTTTACATGAAGTATGAAACCTCACACGTTTAACAATTATTGTATTCAACCAAAGAAAAATTAGAAAGTAGAAGAATCTATTCGGAGCAAAAAAAAAAATCAAAAAGTATAGTTACGCCTATTTCAGATTTTTAAAACTAATCTCATACTACTAAAGTAATGAAAACAAAATTTTATGACTTGAAAACTTTCATTTTTATCCCCGAAACTGGACTATTTAGAACCCTAAATGTATATGTACACTGGGGCATGTTTATTTTAAATGGAAAAATGTTATAAAAGTTTATATGGCTTTTTTTATTACACACATACTCACAATTAAAGTACACACAATTCTAATGTTGAAATAAAACGAAAGTATCCACAAAATCAATACCAAATGGTCAAGTGAAAATATTCAACAGAAATTTAATGTTTATTTTATGAGGAGAAGATCATAAGAATAAAAATAGAAACAGACTAAGTGTGTGTCCTTTTTGCAAATCTCTACATATTTACTACACCATTATTATGAAATCTTCAGTTACATATTCATTGCCATAAAAATCTCAGCAATTTTTCCTAACACTAAAATCCAACTTTTATGATTTTCAATATTGTGTTGTGTATGTATGTGTTAAATTAGAGTAAGACGCACGAAATTTCAAAAAAATCGGATTACAAATGTAGATACTCAAATTATTTGCCCTTCCAAATTATTTTTGTTTTTTTTTTAAGAATATTCTTTTAATAAATTATTTTTTGTAAGTTTTGATTAGTTCCAGTTCCAGTTTTAGAAAAAAAATAAAGGCGATTCACGTTCCAGAATGGCCAGTATTTCAATAATAAAAACCAAAAAAAGAGTAAAAATAAAATAAACGTATACTTAGTTTTGTTACTATAAAGGACATTTCTTCAAGGATATTTTAGTAAAATGTTTATTTAGGGTTCTAAACGGATTCTTCCTAAATTCTTAATGCATTCTTGTGCTTGATTTTTCGATGGTTTTTTTTTTTTTCTTGTATTTCGAATTGAAGCGGTCAATCAGAACATTAAAATTTTTCTGGTAATGTATGAAATTTCGATCTATAAATATACAACAATTTGATCTCATGTAACAAATATACATACATACGCTTTGAACTATACATACTTACATAAATACAATATTAAGTACTCATCATTTGTAATCCTATTGTTAAATTGTAATTTTATTTTCGATTGAGTAGAAAATGCTTGCACTTAAAAGTATTTTTCTAACTAATAGTGAATGAGTGAGTCCTTGAAATTTTATACAATTGCATGTATTTATACATACATATGTACTTAAATAAATTTTTATATGTATTTCGGTCCACATATTAAAGAAGTCCTTTAGTATGTATACAATTATACCATGACGACTTTTTGTCCGGATATCCGATTACATTTTGATATTAAAGTACCAAATGGAATTCTGGACATAACATATACGTATATCAGTATATGTATATATAGAATATAATATTACTTACATAAATACAATGTAGTCATCAATTGAAAAGAGGAATACCAAGTGTATAAGAGAACTTTTCATATTCTTTTCGCAGATAAAATTTTATTGATTTGACTTTTTGACCCCTCATAATATAGTTAAAAGGATTTTTGCTACATTATAGTTAAAAAGTGAAATTTTTTTCAAAATATATTTAAAGTGTTAAGGGTACAGAACAAGCTAGTGGATCTGTTATAAATGTATTTTGAGGTTATTGAAATATTGTAAAGATTATCTTATACTTAATACTGGTTCTGTTTATTTTCATATATAGTAGTGCTATTGATCCTGATTTTCAATGTTAATTCAAAAGAATTGATTTTACTTTTATTTTTGGGGTGCTGGAAGTGTATAATATTTTTACTCATCCTATGAATTGTTATTCATAGAAATGTTTTCGAAAAAATGTTGTTTTTTTTTATTTTTATTGGACCATTTATTGGTATTACACCACTGGGCATCGTATTTATAGGCTTTGAAAATTAAATAATATTAAGGATATTTTTACTTTTTATAATTTGCACGCATATAAAATTTAGTTCCTTACTTTAACAAACTATATACCATTAGAACTAAGTGTATGAAGGAATAATAATAAAACGATAATAAATTCAAGTAGTTTTGTATGTATTTGATATTTTCTTAACTTGTTATGCCCTCTATAACTAGTATAGTATGTACATATAAATAGTAAATTAAGTTTTATGTCGTCACGGTTAATTTTCGTGTATTTTGAGTGTATATTGTAAATTTATTTCCAGAATTGTTGCCGTTACTAAACACATATGAACTCAAAATTTAAGTACACTACTGAAATCTGGCTATAATAGATATAATATCAAATTTTTTGTTACATTAAACATTCTCAGCGATAACAGTATTACATGCGGCTTTGGTAATAAGAGCTAATTTCAAAGAGGTTTTGCAAAATAATAATATGTTTTATTAAATATATTATTACACAGTTATGAATTGATTATCTTCACTTATGAATCTAATATTTAGGAAATTTAATAATCTTTTATAGAGTTATAAATTGATCTTGTGTAAAGGAATACAAAATGTTCTTAGATTGCTTCAGTTTCATCTGTTTTGCATTATTTATATACTTAAATTGATATTGTATTGTGAATAATAAAAAAAATTTTTAATTTTCGACCAAAAATTTTTGTTGATATTTTTAATTTAATAATTTGATTTGCTTAAGACCTACTCTCTAACTGACTTTGAATTCAGCCAGGCTGTATAGTTTTACTGTAAAATGTAAAGTTATCCAGCTTCGTCCTGCGTACGAGGACTCCCGAATTTCTCAAGAGCATGTGTTAATGCGAACAATTTTGCACTCTGAATGGCGAATTTAATGTGTGGTGACTATCCTGAATGGTGAATTCTCTGAATAGTGAATATCTTGCACGGTTTGAATAAAAATCATATACCCAACTTTATATAAGCATATGAAACAATTTGGAATTATTTTGAGGAGAAATTTTGAACATTTAAATTGTAATTGTACCAGTGTATCGTGTACGTTGAAAAAAACGGTATAATTATAATCAGAACTTTACCTTCACGACAAAAACTACACACCTTATTAAAAACAAAACATATTAGTTCCAATTGTCATTAGTCCAAAGATCGTTGATAACAATTAAAAAGACAATTTTAATATCATTATTACTTAACCTTCAACAAGAGGACTAATAATTATTTTCGCATTAAAAGCCGTGATAGTTTACACAAAACTGATATACAACCGTTAATTTATAGATAAGAAATAGTTAAAATTTATACTTATATAAAAATATCATCACCTTGTTAAAATGCTATTTAAAAAATTTTAGTAATTACCAATGATTTTCCCCCCACCTTATTCTAGCCATTTACATATTATGTAAAAAATAAAAAATATACAAAAACCGCATTTAAACTCTTATCACATCGTTATCAGTTCTTTATAGTTACGCGATATATATGTTTCATTATACAATTGAAAGTTTTATTAGACTTTTATCCTTAATAGGATATAGAATTGCCAAGGAAAATTTTTATTTTTGCGTTAGAATCCTTAAAATAATAATTACGATAACATGAGTTTCGTCTCTTAGTATAAAATCGCTAAAAATTTTGAATGCTTGATGTTTTAAAAAACTATTTTAATACAAAAGAGGCACATAAGGTACTTTTATACTCGAATTTATGGCTATGTAAGCATTCTTTATCATTATCATCTTCATTATTACTGTCATCATCACTTATACAATATTTTTGTTATAATCAACGAAACTTTTTTTGTAATGTATAGATTATTTCAAATTCATTATTATTCTCACTATCATCATCATAATCATCATCACAATAATCATTACCATTATCATCATTATTACTAACATTATCATTAACATCAAGCCTAAAGGAAACATAATTTCTCATATCAAATTGTGTCATCAAATTACTTAGTACATAAAAATTGTTCATCATTTTATTCTCAATCCCAATCCCAAAAAAAAAAAAACATAAAGGACAAACAAAAAAAAAATCCAAAAAAATACAAGGAATAAAAATTGAAAAGTGTGTTTGTGCCCTGTAATTACATGACTAGAGTTAATTCATTAAACAAATTATTCTATCAAATGGTTGAATGTCTGAATGAATGGACGGATTCTTAAATTTAATGTATATGAAAAGTATAAAATTGCGGTATTTGTATATATGGTAGCAGTCGCCTTTCCTTTTATTTTGGAAAAAAAATATTCAATTATGCTATGCATA